GGTGAGGGGGGAGGGACAGGCATCCACAGCTTCAGGTGGACACAGGAGGACCGAAGGCCCGCCCCAGCTTTTCCCATCACTCCCCTGCTGGCCCTGCACTCCCAGCGGCTCCACGCTCACCAGGGGCACCTTTCTCTCCTTTGGGACCTGGGGGGCCTCTTGTCCCTAAAAAGCCCTGCATGCCTGGGGCACCCACTTCTCTTGAGGAAGGAACAGATTGGGACAAAAGCTGCTGAGAGTGTGTGCAACTTTGATCATTTCCTCGGCTCCATGTGGAGAAGGAGAACTGGGAGGCCATGCACCCCACTGTCTGGTAATCCAGATGTGTGGGCTTGGGGGGCAGGGGCCACAGCAGGGCCTGCCAGTGGAGGTGGCCTGGCTTCCCTGGCACACTGAGCATCCTTAGGTCACATCATGGATTGCCATCATCATTCCTCCCTCTCCCTTTCGGACCTCCACACACCAACCTCCTACCTTTGGGCCCAGGCTCTCCTTTGGGGCCTGGTTCACCTTGAGGTCCTACATTCCCCTGCATTCCTGAGGGACCCTCTGGTCCAGCCGGGCCAGGCACACCTGGAGGTCCCGGAGGTCCTGGGAAAAGGACCAGCCAGTCAGTGCACGGAGTCTTCTTGGGAGGGGTAGAGCGTGAGAAGGTGAGAGCAGTCATAGGGGTCAGAGAACAGCACCATCCTAACGGGAGCTTTTGGTGAACCTGCAGCAGCAGAACAAATAGGCATAAACCTGGCCCTGGGCCTAGGAGGAGCAGCACCTGCAGGTCAGCCCCTGCATTCCTTCAGGTTTCGCAGGTGTAGACATTCTACCTCCACACTCCTCAGTCCAGTGGTGACCCAGGAGACAGGTGTGCACATCCCCTTTTCACAGGTGAGGCAACAGGGCTGCCAGAGCTGTTATGGGGGCGTGAAGCCAAGAACTGTCTGATTTCCAGGCAGTGCACCTTCCCTGCCCCGAGGCTCCAGGATTTACAGAACAGGATCTGCCAGCTTTTACCCTGGATCATGGACTCCTTGCTTTCCCCTTCCTAAGACCAAACTTTATATCAGAAATGCTCCCTGACATGAGTCACCAGGGAAATGCGAATAAACCCACGAGATATCATCTCTCCCCTCCTAGAATGACGACTATAAGAAACACAAAAGCTCACAAGGGTGGGTGAGGATGTGAAGAGGAAGAACCCCTATGCACTGTTGGTGGGATTGTAAATTGGTGCAGCCACTATGGGGACCAGTATGCAGTTTCCTTAAGACATTAAAAAGATAATTTTTTAAAAAAAGTATGATCCAGCAATACCACTTCTGGGTTTTATCCAAAGGAAATAAAACACTAATTTGAAAAGATGTCTGTACCCTCATGCTCATTGCAATATTTTTTACAGTAGCCAAGAGATGGAAACAACCTTATAGTGTTCATAATGGATGAATGGATAAAAATGTCACACACACACACACACACACACACACACACACACTGGAATATTATTCAGCCATAAAAAAAAATCCTATCATTTGCCTCAACGGGAATGGCTCTTGAAGAAATTATGCTAAGTGCCATAAGTCATACAAATTAAGACAGATACAGTATGATCTCACTTATATCTGGATTCTAAGAAACAAAACAAAGAACCTGAACTCATAAATGCGGAGATCAGATTAAGATGGGAGCTGGGTGGTAGGCAAAACGGGTGAGGTCAAAAGGTACAAACGTTCAGTTATAAAATATGAGCTCCTTTTCCTCCCCTCTGTAGTGCATTTAGGTAAATCCCTTTGATCAGGCCTGAGTGTGGGGCCACAGGGCCTCATCTTTGTCCATCTCTTATGCAGTAGAATTTAAATATTTCGCAGAAATCATTCAACCACAATGAACAATTGTAAGTGCCGCAGCTTAGTTTTATGGGGCCCCGAAGACCAGTCATTTACCCACGATTTGCTCATTCTTGGGGTGAGAGGACTCAGAAGATTCTAGGGGAGGAATCCTGACAGCTAGGGGAGGGGAATAACACCTCGGGGCACAGGGCAGCCTTTCATTTGCCAACTGGTAGCGAGGTGCTTTAGGTGGACTGAATGTCTAGGGGACTTCTTCCCAAGGAGGTGGGCTTCCATTTCCAGGGCTTCCACAGCAGAACATCCAGAGTTGCTGAGTTGGTTATGATTCCAGTGCCCACCCATGCCCACCAGGACAAGCCACGGTCCTGGCTCTACCTGAATTCCCCTTCTTGCAAAGACGGCCATCTTTCAGACTTCGTTCATCACGACCAGGCAGGCCATTCTCCACAGGGTTCCATGTGACCAGGGTGCCATCATCAATCAAAGGTTTCTGGGGAAGGGTCTTCACATTTGCTCCCCATGACGTTGGAGGCGGTGTGAGCAGGACCAGCACGGAGAGGAGAAGCAGGGCCTTCAGGGTGGACAGAGAGAGAAAGGACGTGCTCTTGGTTCCAGAACACGGGTTAGTGCTCAGCCCAGCGCCCAGAGTCAGAGGCACTTTCCTACCGCCTCGCCCCTTCTGTGGGATCAGGAGCAGCAGGACTCCGAAAGCAACTTAGGACAAGGCGGCCATACGGTCTGGCCTGGGAACCATCGGCACGGCTAGGATGTGAACTCACTGAGGCCACCTGTCACATCAGGAAGGACTCATGAAGTGCCTTTGGGCAGGACAGTCCCCTCTTTGAACCTCCAACTCCTTGTCTGTATCAGCAAGGCGGCTGGGCAAACCCATTTCCTGTCACTTGTAGCCTTGGATGGACCAGCACTGGTGGGTTCAGTGCTTGTCTGGAAAGAGCCAGAATGCTCAGTGACATGTGTCCTAACACAAAATGGGCACATGGCTACATGTTTTCCAGGTGGCCTACCATTCCTGGACTAGACACTGTCTCCATGAAGAAACTTCCGGATGGAACCCAGAAAAAGTTCTCAGAATAGCTGGGAAGACCCTGGGACGCGTAGAGTGCTGCCCCTCCACCTGGGACTACTCGGGAGAGGGGCCTTTTGGAGGAGGGCATGTGAGGTGAGCTCCATTAGGAAATGGTGGTTTGAGGTGGAGAAAAAACAAATGTTCAATAGGGTGTCCACTGACATGTGAGAGGGACTTTGCAGCTAAGTGAGGTCATGGTGGGTGCAGGACCTGGTCACTCCCAATGGTGGGCTTCTTTCCTCTTGAGAGAAACTATAAAATTAGGAGCCAGGAAAGCGCCCACGGGAGTGGCAGAGGCTGAGAACAAGCCTGAGGGACAGAGCAAAGGGGAAGGGATCGCCAGGCAGCCTGAGGGGGAGGCAGTGGAGGGCCTTCCTGGCCACAGAAGTGCTTTCTTCTCCACCTGCTGGTCGTTCTGGGCTATGGAGGACCCTGTTTGCCCCAGCTCTTTCTCATTCTGAGTTTACCACTTCCTCGGTCATCATGGGAGTCTCTAAACACCAGGCAAGCTCACAGACCAGCAGGGTGGCACTTGCTGGGGCAGAGTCTCGGCCTTGAGCACCAAAGGCTCCAGCCAGAGCCAGGGCATTGCCCCCTGGTGTGCAGCTGCCACATCAAGGGTCTTGTGCCCACATCTGGGGAAGAATGAAAAGGAACAGACATTCTGCCCAGCTGCTCAAGGTGGCACAGAGGGCACCACAGCTCATTGTAGTGGAAAGGGGCCTGGACAGGAGCCCCCTCACAGGGTTGAAGACCTAGGACTGGGATGAGGCCTCTTCAGTGGACCTATAGAGGTGTTGGGCAGAGCCAAACCCCCTTAAACCACATAGTGTTCACTTTATGCCTCAATGTCAGACTAAACTATTATTGAAAAATGAGGCCTCTAAAAATTAATTGGAAATCAAAACTTGTCCAATAAGTGTATTTTTAAAACAATGATTTGAAGCTAAGAGAAAATCATGTTTATCCATGTCCAATGGGCAGGTGGTACCAGGATGGACTTTGACCCTGGCCTGGAAATGCCTGAGACCAGAAGAGCTACATAGACCCTGTCTTCCTCAACACCAGTACATTAGAGCACCCCAAATGGGCAGGGGGACATTCGCTGGACACAGAGAAAACAAAAAGAGAGGCCGGCACTGACACTCACCATTGCGTCCTTGAGGGTCAGGGTCTCCAGGCAAATGAGCGCTTCCTTGGCCCACACGCTCGGGCTATTTATGTTGAGCCACCCGGTGCTGGTCTTTTAAGAACTCTTTTGGACAACTTTCTTACTTGTTGACTCACACTCACCCCATCTGGGCTCAGGAAACTTGCCACTACACACATGTCCCTTAGAGTTTACAGAGCACCCTCAGTCCATGAACTCATCTGCACCTCACTGATCCCTGTGAGTTCAGTGGCATCATCAATGTCTGGGTTTTACAGATTTCCACGGTCTGAATTCCTGAGAAAACCAAAGCCAGGGAAGCAGAGTGAGGGGCAGATGAGGAAGCAAGTTGCACCATAACCTACAACTATTGCAGAAGCATATGTATTTGCATATTTCAAGAGCAGGGCTTGCTGTACCAACTTCTCTTTGTCCTTCACCTCAACATTACTACCCAGATAGTGGGAAAGAGCTGGGAGCTTCTTGGCATTTCTGGGCAGGGGTGGAGGAGCGAGAGGGGTTGCAGAGGCTGCAGCATTCTGTGAGGACAGTAGCTGGGGAGCTGCCACCTGCAGGGGTCACTCCTTAGCTTCCTGGTCTAGATGTTGGAGAGCCCTCACTTGCTTTCTATGGGATGGAGTCCTTACATCCTTGCCGTCATCTCTCCACTTCCTTAGCTGGAGTTTCCTCTGTGTATCGCTCTAGTAAGCAGTTTGGACCCCTGAGCCCCTGATACACCATTGCAGGCATCCCCCAGGAAACTCTGACTTCCAGTGGCCATGGGGCAGTTGGCTGCTCTACTGCTGTTGCTGTCATCTCTGCTCCCTTCTAGATCCCTGTGGCTCCATCACTTTTTTAAAAATATATTTTACTAGAGGCCCCGTGCACAAAACTTGGTGCACTCGTGGGGCAGGGGGGGTCCCTCAGCCCGGCCTGTGCCCTCTCGCAGTCTGGGACCCCTCGGGAGATAGCGACCTGCTGGCTTAGGCCTGCTCCTGGGTGGCAGAGGCCAGGCCCACT